TGTCTTCTGACAGTCTCATGCAGCAGCCTGTTGGATACAGGTTTTACCTAGAATTCCCAGCTGCTCTCTCATGGGCACACACACTTACAGAAACAAATACACACCACCACCATTTGTCCATCTGTCACAAGAATTAGACCTAATCCATAGGAATTTTCAGATGTCATGGAAGGCAATAGAGAGAGTGTGTGTCAGAGCTTAAGTGTGTACTTTTACTTGGACTGTTATGCGACAGCATAACCACCTGCAGCTGAGAAACCCTGAGAAATAAAGGACTCACGTTCCTCTCTCTGTGTTGTTGAGAAACCATACGGACAAATTTATTAAGGATAGATCAATTAATATGACCATAAAGGAAAACAACTGCTAACATGATATCTGTTTAGTTCAGTCACACTTTTTATTATTGCTGTGACTCTATACACAAATTAACTGTAATGGTTTAAGACAGATATGTGAGTATGGCAAGACATTGGTATTGCATTGATCTATAATCTACACTCTGTGCCGGACCACAGATTCCATTACTAATTTAAACTGGCTGGCAGATGTCAGCCCACACCGCTGGACAGAGACAAAGGAGCTTCCTGTGGTGTGCCAGGCTGAAAGTGGTTGTAATTCAGTACAAGTAAAAGATGTCCTAAACAACATAGTTTATGCATGAAAATTCCTCTTCAGGAATGATTTTTTTCTCTGATAACATTTTAGACCAAATATCTTATCTTCAAATATATAATATTTTGTCACCTTATACGCTACAATATCTTATCTTTGCAGATATGATATCTTCTCTCGTCCATCACATGAGGTTGTTTGTGGGATGTGACTGAAAACAGATGGTGACTTCCACCATTTAGATTTTTGCCAAGACAGATGTTTCCTTATAACAGTGTACATCAGGATTTCTTTTGCACAGACTAAAATCGATTTTGAAAAATATATGTCCCACTTCAGTTTACATTTACATGGTTTTTTGTTTTACCTGTTTTAAAATGTTAATCGAAAACTGATGTGGAACCCCAGCTGAAATCCTCTAATTGTTTTTCTGTGGATGTCTATGTTAGAATGAAGAATGCTAATGCTCTTGTTCATGTTCATCAGTCACCTAGCAGAAGTTCACACTTTCAGGTTTTTCGTTCTACTAAAACAGATTATTTTTTATTGTCAAGGTCTTAAATTTATTGGGCTGACATAGCATGTAAATGTGAAATCCCATGCCTTTACCACTCTATTCAGCACGCACCAGCAACTATCAAGTAGAACAGGAGGAGACGTTAGTGTATCCTATTTGGGCACCTGGCAGTATAAGAGTGGCTCAATAACTGGTAGCTGAAAAGAAACGAGTTAAACTCATATAGGATAATGTGCTGATGGGAGCATAATTTACCTGAGCCTGTTTGCTCTAATATATAACAGACCTTTCAAAAAGCTGAAACATATAAAAAGGAATTAACTGGCATAGGATGGTGTGCTCACACCTCGTTTGAGCACACTATGTGAAAACTTGACATGACTTCTTGAATAATATCATTCGTAAATTTCATTCCACTGTTTTCTTAGACCAGCCTAACTCTTTCAGGAAAACATGCTTCTGGACTTCATGGCTCCGCATCTGCAAGTGAATTGTTTGGTTATGACAAAACAAGATGTTGTACATTCTGTCTATTTCTAATTATCCACTATAGTCTAAAAAAGGATGATGTTATATTCCACAGAAGGTGAATGAGTACACTATTCCAATATTCATTTCAATATTCGTCCAATATTCCTTTTCGGATTCACAAAATCCGAAAAGGTCTTATTACAAACATAGAACAGATGTTTCCCATTTTTAACCTAAGTTCTAACCTTGTTTCTGTCAAGTCTTCGGTTAAATCGTTTTGCAGAACTTCTTTTCCAGTGGATATTATTAATTTTCATATGGCCATGTTCCCTACGGTCCCATTGGAGTGGGATACCAATTGAATGTTTCAAACAAAACATTAAGGCCATCTTAACATACATGTGTCCTGTTCACTGGAAGATATACATTTCAAATGTAATGGGACTTTTAGAATGAGTAAAAATTAAGAATAAAATTTTTAGTTCTTTTTTATCTTTTTCATTTTAAATTGACCTTTAAATTCCAAATAACCAAATAAAGTGAATATGTTTGGGCAGTGGAAAGATAATGAGACAGCATGTTTTTTCATGTTCACCATGTTTCTAGCATAACATTATCACTGAGTCCAATATGAAATGATAAATTCATTGTACCTCATTAGTGTCTGTTAATTGTAAAACCTGCTTACGCCAAATGTGTTTGCAGGCAGGGCTTAAAGATAGAAGTAGAATGCATTATTTCCAGACTATCAAGTCAGTGCTGATTTGAATACAAGCACATATGGGTCACTCGAAAAGAGTCACACAATTGGTAAAATCACAAATCTTGGCAACGCTATAAAGATGACAAAACACTGCAAACTGACCAGAAGTAATAATTTTCTAATTTAAAAACTTGGAAGGAAATTCACATGTATGTTTTTTTCTATCTATGTATTGTCAGGGAAACAAATACACCTGTCAAAAAACTAGTGATAAGCAGTTCTACATTTGTGCATAGGGCTTCCTTGTATACTGGTGAACTATCCATCCATGCTGAGTAAGTGAGTAAACTTGTAAATTAGTAGAACACTAACTTCGGTCTAACTTTTAAGGTTTGGTTTGATGCACAAATTTTGGAAGGAAAATCAAGACTTCTAACAACTAATTGGCTTAGTTTTTAGAACAACCTCAAACTACATCACAGAGCACTGTCAGGAAGCACTACTATGTCACTGATAATTATTCGAATGCCATCTTGAACTCATTGCTGCCTCTGGTAGACCGAAAACTGATAACAATAGCCGTTTGAACTGCAAGATTGGGGACAGCTGGCTTTGTCTTGTGTTTTCCCATTAAACACAGAAAAATGATTGATGAAATCAACCAAAACAACGGTATTCAAATCTTAAAGCCTATCTTTTGATTTTTCTGAAGAAAAGATACCAACAATGATAGCAGAAAGTAAAAATGAAAGTAAGAATATAAAAATTATGGAAAGCAGTATAAACAGTCTATGACTAACAAGCCAGTCAAAGACTGAATACATATGAGTACAGGTCATATTGAAAATCTTTTACTTTTTATGTCATGATTTTTCTCTTTTGCCCAAACCTGTGCCAAGAAGCAGTGTTGAGGTGATAAAAGGAGTCATAAGTATGATAACCTGGCATCCATGTGACTATTTGACAAATATGATCTTCCCAAATATTACAGAATAACATCCCCTGTAGTATAAAACTATTTAATCTGATACTATCTAATCTGCATGTACAAAAGTACATGCAGATTAGGCAACATGACACTTCACCACATTATGTCCACTCATCAAAATAAAATCAGTCAGGATGACCACAGCAAATAATATGATTTTTCAAAGTACTTCGCAATTTAGGTGCAGAACTCTATTGTAATGGCATGTTTATGATTAAATGCAGCTAATTCAATGAAAGTTTAATGGGGGGGGGGGGTAATTATACCAGAAAGGATCATAAGATAAGCACTATTCTCCTTCCTAAAATACACGGCAGTTAGGTTGATCTGTTCCCAATATCTAGAATATTATTATTCCTTCCTGAATCTTCTGTTCTGTGAGATTATTGTTTAACTGAGTCAGATGCTGTACTGTTTTCTTTTAGATCTGAGATAAGAATCGAATACCTTGCAGACAGAGAAGAGAAGATCAGACTATATAAAACCTTAAACACCCTTTGTTTGAATGATTTTTTCAACTTTCTTTTTAACCTTTGGACAAATGAGCCATCTAATTCTGGCATTGGTTCAAGGCAGCCTTGTTCCTTTCGATATACCATAGTGGTGAAAAGTCAAATCATCAACTTTTTTCTCACTGTAACCCAGAGCCACACAGATTTTGCATAACGAGCCCCTTATGGATAGTTTTGATAAGATTATCTGACTTCATAAAAGAACTGCTAAATCCACCTTGTGGAGCAGGTGTTTCATGTATTACTGAAAACTGAAAGCATATTCAAATCTTTTCTAACTTCATGCTTTCAATGTTCGTATTTGACCAACCATTTGACCTTATTCTATGAGAACTTGTTTTAGCTTGGGTATTTTGAAGACCCTCATTCCTGGAAGAAATCTTTTTTCTGACTTGCCAACTTCAACTCCCATCAGCGCAGTTGGCCACATTAGACCAGTTTTCACTTAAACCTAACTTTTATGACATCTTTGGTAAAAAAAAAAGAAGCAATATGTGTGAAATGATGGGGCTTTTTAAGAGTAAGGTTTTGCCATAGGTCTTAGGCACACATTCTCCATTTTACACTCAGTCACTAGCAAGTAACAATTGGCCCAACGCTATTCAGCCAGGTAAATCTGATGTGCTAATGTTGCTATTTGTAAGATTACACATTGGACACATCTTGTCATGTCAAACTTCTCTCTGAGAAATCATTATATATGTGAATTCAATCAAGTATATGCTTACAAATGGTGAATTTCTTTAATTCATTTATTCATTCATTGTCCATACCACATACTCCTACTAGGGTCATGGTAAAGCTAGGGATAGTTTCTTGAACCAATTAAAGCTTCATATTTTCTGTATTTGATTGAATAATAATAGAATCCAGCATTCATACAGACATACAATAAGGAACTTAGAGCACCATGAAAGCTGAGCTATCTCTCAAACTCAGTGTGGCAACCAAAGGAATGTTTTCTGTGGCTGGACCAATTTAACTGACAATGAAAAACAATATATCCAGAAGTGTCTGTTAACAAACAGATTAAAGAAATACAGTCGCTGTATGGAAATCATACTGTGAGCATTCTATCACTGACATGCCTCTTTTTATTTAAATACAATAATGGTGAAGCCATTCAGCCTCTTGGAGACCAAGATAAATCTTCTCTGGCAGCTCTTAGAAGCCGATGCGACCATGTAAACCTTGCACACACACACACACAAACACACACGCATATACAAAATTATTTTCTTTAATTGGCGCTCATAATGCTAAACTCAATGCATTTTGAGCAATGGTGTTGCTGATAAGTAGTGATAAAACAGCAAAGAAGACAAAGACTTAATTCATTTCAATAACCAAACATTTTTCGTTCTGGTTTAATTATTATTGAAAATGAAAAAACAAAGTAGCAACAACTAAATCAGCTGGATGTGATTGTCAAGGAAATCTTTGATCGTAGCTCTACATGGAAACAAACAAAACAAAAAAATAGCAAAGTGTCTAGAAATGACTCAAAAGAACTCCACATAGACATTCTAAATGACTCAAACAGCAATGAAACCCAAAACTGCATGGAGAGCCTGATAAGTACTCAAAATTAAAGTATGCAATTTAATATAAAAAATTATTCTGAACAGCAGCACAGATGCAAACAAAAATTGTTAAAAAGCATGTTGCATTCAGATGGCACCTGATATCACACATGGGCTGATATCACATATCAGGACATGTGTATTTCACTTTGTACCTACTTCTTATACAGTGTATCAGCCTATTTTCTTTAGTTGATGCTCATAATGGCAGTACAAAGTTTGAATATAATAATCCAGACTCAAATATGCTCAAAGCTGCCAGTAAAAGGATCAATTAGAGTAAAAATAATAATAGAGGGTCAATCTACTCCCACCCATAAGTTTATTTCAAGGAAGTTTAAAATATGTCACACATTCTTGCTTGTGTAAATGCTTTTGTAGCTACTCACACTCGATATCACAATCAATGTTCTGGGTAGGAACACACACAGTACACACCCACATTGGCATCCCAGCCATCACTCTTAAATTTATGCCAATGCGACTTCCTCTGTGCCCTCAGAGGAAGCATAAGTAACACTACTTTTGGTCTAGTTACTAAGACAAACTCATATTTGTACTTTGTATTACAGTGTAGAAAATAGTCCTGAACTGATCAGTTAAAAAAAAAAAAATCTATAATATTGATAATACTTCCATCCATTATTAACTGGATTGAAAGCAGCAAGCCCTTGTGAACCTTGGATAAGCTTTTTCTCATGAGCTGAGACCAAACACCTTTCCTTCAATACCAAAGTGCAAGTGCGCCACCATCTGGTCCATTTCAGATCATCCCAAAAGTGTTGGACAGTTTTCAGAGGCAAGGAAAACCTTTAACAATGAATTTCCTCACACCTCTTCAGTGTTATGATTAACTTCATGCATAGGTAATGGACACCTTTGGTGGAAATGTTGCTTTCTGAGGCAGTTTGAAATGCTTTTATTGCTACTGACAAAAAATAAATAGTAACACCTATCCTTTTCTGCCAATACGTCTTGAAAGGAAGGATTTATTCCAGACACTGAGAAATAGCGTTTTTTCCCAAACTATCAGTTTTAAGTTCATTTTGCCATTAGTGCAGCATGTTATTTTTTCCTTTCATTAGCTTGTAGTGTTTTATTTCAAATGCAAAAATGTGTCAAATAAAAGATGCAGTGTCCTCCCTAACATATGAACAGGAGAAGTATATGCTGCTCAACCAAGTCGACCAAAGAAGAGTCAACCACAGTCATAAAATATAAAGTAAAGGACTGCCAGTAATAGGTATTTGCCTTATTGTCCTGCACAACATTTCAGTTATCTTGTCTCAGGAAAAAAAATATTTAAAAAAATAAAAATGACACATTTAGCTCAGCCTTAAAAAAAAACCTCCATGCATGTTTTTCCATTCACCTGTGTTCATCCATCATCTTCAAAATCCAGTCTCAGTGCAAAAAAGCAAATGCTTTTTGTGAAAAAATACAGACAGAAAGGCCCACTTTAAAACTCCTCTATTTTATGCACATCTTTGCAGCATTTTTTCTGATACATAACTTATAATGAAAGTAAATCCTTGATCACATAACACTTAATGCACAATATAGGGGTGAAAACAAGGCCATCATATATGATGCTCTATACAGTAATCACAAGCCCTCTGTAAAAAACAAAAAAACATTCTTAAAAAAGCTACGTTAGACAGGAAATGGTGACATTCAGTACAAACATAAAGAACCAATTTTCTTATGAGGAGAAATATACAAAAATTTTATTTTCATATTGACATCAGTTACTGGTTTGACATCACTCTGCTCTGGTAAATACTGCAAGGAACTGCAACTGACAATTACAGATCTTTGAAAGTGTTTCGTATGAAAATGGATGAATCATTAAAAAAAGTAACAAAAATAAAACAAGCAAACAAAACATTGAATTGTATCTTGACTTGCCACCAGGTGTTATAAAGCATTTATCATCAACATCACTACAAAGAGAAATAAGCAATGCTTTAAAAAAAAGAAAAATATATAAACCATCGAAGGGGCTTATTGTTGATCTGAACTAACGCTTTACAGAATCTCATTTTTAGCTAAATGCACTCATCTTGTAGTGCTGCATACGGAAATATCAGAAATAAAATTGGTAACGCAAAGACTTATTCACAGTAAAAGAAAAAAAAAAGATGAGAAAAACAGTATTGCCTGTCACATTTAAAAAAATGTAATCTAGAAAACTGAGGTTTTGATGCCTGAAAAAATTGGCTAGCTTTATGTAAAAAAGAAAAAAAAAACAGTTGATGCAGATTGCCATAAAATGTAGCAACTTTATTTAGATTTAACAGACTCGATGCTGACAGAGGATACATACACTGGAAAAGCCAACCTAACGCAAGTCAGGGGGAGCTGAGCAGAGTTCTTTGTAGTATCAACTTTTTTACATGAGGTTCTGGATTTCAAAACTGTTGCAAGGTTAGTCAGGGCTAAAACCATAAGTTGAGTATCATTTTCTGCATGCAGCCTTTTGGAAGCAGTCGGCCTGTGTGTGCACAAGCAGTGCTGCGGCTGGCCTGAGGAGCAGCGTGGAGCCAAGAGGGCTGACATTTTTTTATGAGGGGCTAGAAACCCAATACGAATTGACCTAAAAAGAAACAGGATAATATTCTCTGTATGAGGCCACGCATCACAGAAGGGTAATATGGGAGCCTCAGAATAAGTACATATTCCAAGAGGAAGCTGCTCTTACCTTTTTGTGATCATCTTTTGAAGTACAACAGTTTCCTTGATAATTTGCAACTTTATAGAATTCCTTGGCTGGGATGAAAATAAGTTATTTCATTTTGATGTACACTAAGGCTGGATTTCATGAGACAGTGCCAATAATCACCTGATGTGTCAGTCAACTTTCATTGTGATACAAGTCTATCAGCACACATACTAATAAGATTTTCAGGCCACAGTGAACAGCTTTTTCACTGTGCGTTTTCAACTCAAATTTATGCCAGGGATCAGCTCCATTATAGACAATCGTCAAGATCAGTGCTAATCCCCGGCAGGAGGCTCAGGTCAGCTGGTCATCAAATGTCTGAGTTTAACAGTGAGACTGAAAATGCACAATTACGTACTTCTAAGACAGAATTTTGTTCAGATCTGGTAGTAGTTTCTAGATCTAAGTGGCATTTTGTGTTGTTTTAAAAAAGAAAGACAAGTCAGTTATTTAGAACATCCAGTTCGACAAAAAGTTTCATGTTATTGTAGCCCCAATATTGACTAATTTCCAATGATGCCCAGCCCCAATGCACATCAACATGGAAAATATTTTGTCAGTGTAAGCATTGACAGAGCCCTTTCAAAGTGTGGACTCATGACTAAACCTTTTACATACTGTGGCATATTTTACATACCATAAGACTTTTCCTTTGAAGAGCTGCTATAGAAATAAATAAAACAGACCGTCAGTTAAAGCTGGAAAGAAAATGTTAAAATACCACATTGAGGCAGTTCCAGGGTCCAAACAGAGGTTTACATGGTGGTTCTGCAGATGAACCTACTGAGAGGAAAGCCAGACAGGAGCTGAAGGTTCATGAGGGCTCAGGGTGTGTTAAAGGGGCTGGTTGTAGTGTCAATCTGTCCTGACAGAAACCTGTGCAGTCCATCCCAGTCCAGCCTCAGGTATACTGGTACTGCTCTGAGAACTCTGTGTTCTCTGGGGCATATTGGTAATTTCCATCATACTGTTCTTCTTCTGGGCCTTCTTGGCCATATTGCTCATCCCCAGGTCCAAACTGATCATCCACAGCTGTGTATTGGTCATCTGCAGGTGTATATGGGTTTTCTTCAGAAGTGAACTGGTTGCTGCTCTCCTGTGAATGTTCTGCTGGCTGCTGGTTCTCTGTGGTCTTCACACCTGACTTCTTAACTCTAAAAGAACATGTGAAAGTGTTCTAATTACCAAGTATGTGGTGGTGCTGGAAGCAAACATTAAGACATGTACAATAAGCCTATGATGTGTTGGCGTGAACATAATATCAGATTAAATTTAATAACAATCTTGGAAATGTATATATTAAAAAAGTAAAAATGTCAAAAAGTAATATCACCTTAAATGTCTCCCAAAGCTTTTGAAGAAAAAAAAAAAGAAGAAGTACACACTCCATGCAACCTTTTTTCAGTGTCCACAAAGACCCAGAGATGGCAGCAGGCAGCGAAAGCAACTTGCTGATTTCTGTGACGTTGGCCATGGTGCTGAGTTTGCCCAAGTCTTTCTTGTGTATGTGTTATCTTATCTTCCACAAGTTGCACCTCATCCCTACACTCTCAGCAAACGTCTAGGATTTCAAACAAGTCTTGTTCGAAGTCTTCTCAAAAGAAAGCTCTTCCTCATTGTGGACTAATTACAAACATATTGGGGACACAAAGAGACAGCTAATCTAGAGATACGCGAGATTAAAAAAAAAGAAAAAACTGGAAAAGATTGTGACCCACCAACTTTAAGAGGCTTATGTTTGTGTGTGTGTACTCACTGGTTCTTATGTCTGGCACCACTGATGTGAGACTGGTATTGTTCCACGGAGTTAAGCTCAATGTTGCAGATAGTGCATGGGTAACCATTGACTGTGGAAGCTGCGAAAACAGAAAAGTCCAAAGTTTGTTGGAAACGATATTTCTATTTAAATTTTGTAAGCCCAATTTAGGGGGGTGACTCCTTGTTCTGACCTGGTGCAGTGGAGGGGCCATACGTCTCCATCAATTTAAGCCTGGTCATCTGTTTTCTATGCTTCTTGCCCACATAGTGCTGTTGGGCCATGAGTGGGTTGTTGAAAGAGGCCTTGCAGACAGAGCAGAAACGGTCTGGGTTGTTGTTGTTGTCTGTCCCTGTAACACCACTGGAATTGTCTGAAGGGTTTTCCTTCAGCTTTGCTGTCTGCGCTACTTCGGCTGAAAAGGAGGCATAAAACATCCATATTCCGACAAAAATATATCAGGAAAAATAAAATTTCATACATATAAGCCATGAGAAAGAAAAGACTTGATGAGGCATAAAGCGACGTACCTGGTATCTGAGATTCAACCGTTTTCATTCTCAGCCTCTTGGCATGGAGTTTGCCTTGATAGTGAGACTCAGCTATTACTGGAGAGGAGAAGGTCATGTTACATAAATGACATGCCTTCGTCCGGTCCGTGTCTCCGTTGTTACAATCCTCCTGATGGAGACACACAACAAAACAAATCATTTAATGCAATGCCAGGGATCAGCAGGATTTTAACTCTGATCATTGGGGTTGTACATTTTAAAACCATAGGTCCTTTTGTGGGTCTTTTTCACAGTAAAGTTTTACCAAAAGCAAGAAAAGAATATCTGAAAAAATCTTTAAAATAGGAGAAAACATACAGTGATCCATAGTCACTTGACTATCATTAGCAAAGATGAACGTATGCTTTGTGGCAATTACCTCAACTAACAAAATTTATAAGAGCTTTGAGGTCATGGAGATCAGCTCTAGTAACAACAATCGAATGAAACACCAAGTAAAAGAAGTAAAATTATAGCAATGTGGTCATTAATTTATTTGGTCTGCTGTCTGAGCAGCTCTCCATCTTAATGTTTTAATATAGCTCAGAATAATGTGGGAAATCTGACATGTAACATACATTTCTCTACTGGTATCTCACTGAAAGAGATAGGACTTAAACTGAGATGTGTTTAATTGAAAACTAACTAGAACAGATCGGTAAGCCGTTCATTCACATCAAATTAAACATTTGTATTATAGTAATGGCTGTCATGGATATCCAGATGCTGGTAGATGAGGTTTGTACAAATAGGAGAGCAAAAGATTTTGACAGGAAAATTTTTTAAAGGCTTAAGTCAAAATGTGTAAGACACCTTTGCACAGCTAAATGCATTTAGCTAAATGCTAAATGCTTTGTCAGTTTCTGGCAAGAGACCAATAACTCAAGAGCATTAAATGAATTTGTTCTTCATGTTGGTCTTGTCTCAGCGGTAACATTTTATTTTTACTCACACTGTTAGACAATTTGGGCTTCTTGGCAGTCAGTTCATTGTCGTTTTGCTGAGAGAGATAACGACGCACCTTGTTGCCATGTTTCTTGCTCTGAGAGGATAAACACAAATGCTTACAAAGAGAACATACAAGTAAACTACAATGGACACTAGAAGCATTCTCAAAAGGATATTTAGGGATATTGATCATTTAAATGCTTTAGCAAACATAACAGATATATATACACACACATTACCAGAACAAATATGTCCTACTTTAATGTTTTATATCACCTATTTACCAAAGGAGAGACTGACTGTTTGTCTCTTTTAAATAATAACATAAAATGCATTTATTCATTTGATCAAATAAACCTTTGTGTTTCTGAAGAAATTAAACATGACATCAGACTGTTCTGATCCTGGCACCTTAACTAATTTATCATCTTCACTGAAATAAAAATAAACCCTATTTCATTCCCTTTCCCCCCCACTATTTCAGTACTTCTAGAACTAATCCCTGGATACTGTACATTGATAACCCAACAATCTTGGTTCAAAAGCAAACATTTCCACTGAGCACTTCTGGGTTGTTTTAATTAAGATATCTCTACACACTGAAATACAGAGACAAGAGAAAACAAAGTTAATAATCTCTTTGTCGTCTACGCTCAACTGGTCAAATCCAAAATTAGGACCGGGCTTACATTTAATCAGCAAACAACCCAGAAGTCTGATCTGGTTCTCACTGGTCGTCTGTTCTGCCCTCATGTGCTATATTCAATTTGTGACTTAATAGAGCTGAAGTTAAAGCTGAGCTGTTTTATTTAAATATTTTGTTTTTCAGTTGTGCGGCAATTTAGCGATGATTTGTTCATGACTCATCAATACTATTTGGAATCCAACACCAGCCAGCTGAATGTGGGCATGCTCCTTGAGAGTAAACCTGTGATGTGATGCCAAGTGATTTACGTAATCATACCTTTAAGCAGATCATTATAAACACAATTTAAGTCCCCTGATAGTGAAACGGCAGCAGGAAACAAGGCGCACTGACCTGATAATGAGTCAGCTTCTGAGATTCAGAAATGAGGACAGCACTGCAGACTTTACACCGGGAGTCAGAAAACAGGTCACTATGCTCCTTTATCATCTTATTCACTGCAGAGGAGGGCAAACACAATTCCCAGGTTTCAAATTGAGTAACATTTATTTGGGAAATATAAATATAATACGACAATTAAAAAAAATCCATTTCACTAGATTAAAACCGTTTCTGGATAAGGGCCACTGAATTTTCTGTAACTTACAGAGCACTGTAGACTACAACTTTCTGTTTCATCTGCAGCTATTTCTGTCTCACTAATGCCAGGACTCACTAATGCCAGGAGCCATCCATTTGCTTCAAGTTTTTGCAAACATGAACAAAAAACACTCACCAATACAGTAGCATATTTTAAGCCCATCACTGAATCACAATCCTTGGCAAACTCAGACATTTATTCACCTCGATGCATCGATTCTGAGGCTTGACTCAAATAAAGTTAGTGCATAATAAAGCTAGTCTGGGAATACAGTGAGTGTTCAAGGAGGATAATCCACTATCTTTGAATTATTGTGACAGTGTGGAATAGCGAGATCTTTACTTTGGCCTTAGTTTGTAAATTGTAGGAAAGAAGACCCTACTCTGGCTATTTCTGTTAGAGCCAATAATTTTGACACAATAGGAGGAGAAATACTGTATGTTCTAGGATGAGAGGATGTTTCAACATTTGTATGTGTGTACTGGCTACTCTGATACATTTCCTAGTCAAGTCTTTGTACCTGCCAATTTTCCTTAATCAAGCACCTTAACACCAATGAACCATTCAAACATAAAGAGGGACTTGAATCAAAGAGCTGTGTGTGTTCCAACATAATTTTTGGCTCAGATTATTGACATGTACCAATGACATTGCAAATGCACATTGTCACTGACAACATTCAGAATTCTGATCCAGCATTTGCTTAGACATCACTCCTAAGTTTTAGAATTCACGCCATCAACAGGGCAAAACTGGACCAGTTGTTGATAAATGCCAAATCGGATTCAAGAAACATCGAGCACTTCGCAATGTTTACTCAGATGTGAGCACTGATGGAACAAATAACAATAAAATGGAAAATGCATATTTAGTTTAAAAATGTGGAGGTACTTCATACAAAGTTAAGCTACGACGGTCTCCATTCAGAAGATCGAGAGTACCGTAATATGTACCATTTTTTGTTTTGGTGGTGTGCTAGAACCACATTGCAGAAAAGCACTACAGCCTCAACCAAAGACAACTTGAAGCGATATCCAAATATACTCCTCGGGCCACACAAATGCACGAGCAGAAGATTTAAAACCAAATCAATACGTCAGATGCAGACATGCACTCATCGACCTTGAAACTGAAACGGCTACAGCTAGTTTAGCTTAGCATATTTTAGCACAACGCTGCGCTCATTGAGTTGTTAGCAAATGTTAGCTTGGACAAGGCACAACAATACTGCTTTCCAGGCCCACAGCACCAGAGGCTATCACTGACGGCATGGAACATGCTCTGTATTAACATCAATTTTGCAGTGAGAAAATAAACTGATCTACCCTCCTCCAGTCCCGAAGGTAAGTATGGAAAATCGTCAGTCTGCATTGCCACCGCCATGATTTCAACACACGGCTAGCGAAGACCCATAACGCATGTGCAACTGATTACCACGTGATAGAAGCAAAAGCGAAGCGTTCAAATGTAAAGGCAACATGCTTGAAAATGGGTAACACATACCTCCAGAATAAGAATAACCAAATATCCTTCCCAATTAAACAAAAAGCACTGAAACAAATTGTAATGTATATTCAAAAGTCAACATTAGGGCGTAAAATCTTCTTTCTGTTTAAATAAAGCGTTACATATATAAAATCACATAGAAAATATCTTGAATAATTACATCCAATTCCTATTACAATTAAGATTTATATCGCACAGAAACTATGGGTGACGTTTTTTTTTGTTTGTTTCTAATTGGTCGTTGTCAGCATGTTTCTGATTAATTATATATAAGCTACCAAATGGCAACAAAAGGCGTGTAATACATATTACACGTGCCATACGGGTTAGAAATGATTGGTACAATATGGACGACATCTCAATTCAGCAGTTTCCGTAGTGTAGTGGTTATCACGTTCGCCTAACACGCGAAAGGTCCCCGGTTCGAAACCGGGCGGAAACAACATTTTTCAGGAATTTTGTGAACACAAACAAATTAGAATCCCCTTTGCTCACTGCTTTTATACGTGCGCTGTCACATACAAGAACGGTGACAATACTTTTATGATTATATGTAAATATTGCATGACTGAGTATTACTGTACATAACAACTTAAACATTTTGTGAAAAGGTTTGTTGGGGCCACTGGGTGGCCTGCTTTAACTTTGAGTGCCTCCTATCTTTGTGAAGGCAGTATTTAGAGAGACGTGTTCCCCAAGGCTGACACCAATTGGTTTATTTCCATGCAGTGGGTAACTTACAAGTGAGCGCCACAGCTCCATTGAATATCTGTCGTCCAGAGAGAAAACTAAACCTTTTGTCCTCCTTTAATCCTTCGCATTTCCTCTAAGTCTGTCCTCCTTGCAGCTTCTAAATTCCTCCCTGGATTATTCTCCTGCCCGTCCAGCCTCCATCACCTTCTCTGGATCTGGACCTATGTTGTACTATCCTGCTCGTGCCGCTGACTCCTTCTGAGGGTCCAGTTCTGTGGACTTACCCATGTCCGACTCATCTGTCCAACCTCCCTCTGATTTCGCACCTCCACGCCGGTAAAACTGTCTGGTTATTGTTTTTTGCCTGCACTAGAGTCATTCCTTCGATTATGCCAGGCTTGCCGTTGTGCGTATTGAAGATGAGTTTAAACATGTTTTAATTTATCACCATATGGGATTGAATAGTAAGGAAGACGTATTTGCTATCAGGTCCCCATCAAACACTTTTTGTGTGTGTTGCACCTGCAGAAGTCCAAACTAATTTCTTCTCTGAAGGCAAACGCTTTGCATGATCTGTTTATTAGTGTGAAGAGCAGAAGTGGAGACGGGGCGTAACAGTGCAGCATGTTCAGCTGCAGCATTCACTTGTGTTGTCAGAAGCAGCAATGTAATCAGAGTAAGTGTGAGCTGCACACTCAGACAGATGTTTAATGGTCACAGAATGGCCTTGTGTAATGCTGTTATCTGAGAAGCATTCAAAGTTATTATTGCAACAGATCTAACAAAAAACAAACAAGGACAAAACGTTTGTTTCCACAGTGCATTGAATACACAATTCATTACACTTACTGTGCTGACTAACCCTTGCCTGATTCTAATTCACGGCATCCACTGTTTCCACTAACATTCTACATATGCCAATGTAAAGATGGAGTGAGATAACTCTTGGATCATGCTCATTTTGCTTTAAAAAATTTCTTGTGTCCATTTCACACAAATCTTGGATATCCATTAATCTGATGCAAACTCCACAAAGACTTCCTCCATATGGAATAAAACTGGAATACTCTTGCAGTGAGGCAACAGTGTTAACCACCACATCACCATCCTGCCCCACGTTTAAGTTAATGATAAAGTAAAACAAGCGTATCACTATGGTCATTTCTTTACTGAGCACATATCCACTTTGGAGAATGACTTTGTCTGAACAAAGGTCCTGTTTTACCCTGAGGCAACAAACAAGAAAACACAGTCTTACACTACAAATAATGACAAAATAAATCTAAAATTCATCCCAAAAATTAGGTTAAGGTACGACATGCCTACACAGAGCAATTTGGCGCAGACTATGGGGCAGCAGTGTGACGGCCATCTGAGCCTGATGCCCTCCTGTTTTACTGTCCTCTCAATCTTCTCCACAGACTCTGAGTGCATACAGAGTGTCGGAAGGGGATGCTGATTTTTCAGGCTCAGCTCTTTGAAAATGGTCAAACTTGCTGAGATCTAAACACATTGACAAGCTCAGTGACTTGATGGTTCTCTGCAGTCTGCGGGTAAGGTCTTCTGTTGTTGCTGATACCCTGTTGGCTTCTTGGCGCACACACAGGATCATTAGCTGACAACCTGTCTCGAAGCCTTGAACCTCTTTACTGTTCTAGTCTCTTTTGTTAGTGTTTCTGGTCCAGTTTAACAAAATTATGACATTTTTCAACTAGAACAAACATATGAAGTCATTTTTAGAGGAGTACCTGTAAAGCTCCAGACTGTGACATCCCAGATCAGTTTTGGTGAGAACATGTGTAATACCACACAAAAGGTTTTGAGTTGGCACCAAGAAAAACGCAAAGCATACTTTACATTTCATATAAAGAATGTATAGAATATAATGTATAAGATGAAAGAATGTCTTTGACTTTTGAATGAAAGCCAGAAGAGATAAGGTTGAAAGTTGATTTTACAAAAGCCTACATGCTGTGTAGTCAGCAAGATTTTGATAAGGAAAATGCAATTGCAAAATAGAAAAGCTTGGCAATTCTTCGGAGCCACAGTTAAACCAGTGACCTAAGGATTACTGTTACTCAACACCTACAGTCCCCCACTCTGCCAACTGAGTTATCAAAGGGAGCCAGTTCCCTCACTGGCCAGTGAATGTGTATCAGGCCTCAACATCCAACAGGCTCCAATTTACATAGATTTTATGCCTGCCTGTCTCAGCTCTCTTCTTTATTGGTCGATATCAACATGGGTTCTTGTAATGGATGAACATCATCAGGTCACCATGATTCAGCCAGTTGGTTGGCTTCCAGCACTTCAGGTGCACATTGGCAGAGAAACAGCCTTGAAATATAAATCAGGAAGCATTCACAGGACTTTGAGTTACCCATCTACATTATCTTGTACCTATGTCTTAACACTGTCTGACACACGTTTTTAATCTCACCCTTTCCTCAGTTTGTCAGAAAGAATTGTTTAAATCCACTTCCACTTTCTTTCAATGTGTCACCCACATCTGAACATTTTTTTCACTGTATTGCCTCAGTTGTGATCAACCAGGAGCAGAGAAAATGAAGCTTCAAATGGTTCCTCTACTAAATTTGGTAGAACTGAGAACTGCTGGTTGGTAAAACCTTTCATCTTCTTTTTCGTGCACTGTCAAACACTGTTAAAATGTATAATATCCTATCCTACAAATGTGTAATATTACGGTTATCTTTAATGTATAATATTCCGACCTACAATGTGAAATATTTACAGTTTACCCTACAATGTGCAATATTTATACCCGTCTATAATTCATTTAGCTATATACATTTTTTTTGCAATGTATATGCACCCATGACTGTGCACCTTACCTGCTAATGTTTATACTGTATATATTTTGCTAATATTTACATATTTCTGCACTATTTGGAGTCTGCATTAATCTCATCGAACATGTGTCTAATGAATTCTGATCTTGTTACATTACTGTTTTAGCATTTGAAGTGAGTGACTAATTAGGAACACACTTTGGTCAAGACCTTTCTCTTGGTACCTTTATTCTGAACACTAAATCATTCATCAGACATTTGGTTTCACAATTACTTTTTATTGGTTTAAGGTCAATTATAATGTAGCAATGATTGCTGAGAACAGACTTACAGTTTTTACAACCATTTCTAAGCGAAGCATTCAATAACAGTTGTTTCTGCTAAAACTGCATTGCTACACACCATTTTAAAATATACCTCTACAACATGTTACAGACAAGATCTGTCAAACGGATGTGGAGAATAGATAAGGACAAGAGATAAACCACTGTGAAGAAAATAATAAAGTAAGAAAGAGCTCATGCAGGCATGTATTATGCATTATGGATGTAGAAGAAATGTCAAACACAATTTACACACTGGAAAGGTGTTTTCAGCTTGATGAATACATAGGCATTGCTTTATTTAATTTCCATTGTGATAAAAGTTACGACACAAAATACACTGTCACTGGACCACACAATAACTATGCCTATGGGTGTACGAATTATTATTTTTATGTACCACACAAGAGCGCCAACATTATAAGGTCATAGTAGTTAAACATTCTTAAAATATAAACTTAACCTTTGAGTTGTGTGAATGTTTGGTCCTGTGAATTTGATCTGGATTACAAGTTTAGACTGATATTAAGATCAGAAAAGATTTAATTTGAAGCAGAGTGCCAGCAGTTAATTTGAAGACACTGAAATTATAAACCAGTTCAAAGAAAACATGTGGAGGTAGATGGAAAAAATAAATAGGAATGACATGTGATGTATAAAGTTGTGCAGCTTTGTGACTGCAGTAAGATGGGCATTGGATTTTTTTCCTCCAAATTCTAACGGTATTGAAAATGGAGTGTCGCTTATTTGTTGTCACATAATAAACATCCTTTGCAGTTTGGGTGGTGGTACACCAACCAAGTAGAATGTCTTGGCAAATAGTTGTAATAATCTGCAGTTAAGAGATTATTCACCATCTTATATATTTTATGGAAGTTTTAATCTCTCTTCTTCAACAACTCAATAAAGTAGATGCAATACTTGGACCACCTGTTGTGTTTAGAATATTTGATAAAAATATTAAACAAGCATGTGCATAAGTAAGAGTGGGAGAGGAAAGGGGGGGGAAATTTTACACATGACGTAAAGCTTAAACTTTAGAAGGAAAAGGTTTTGTTGGCATCTGAATTTATTATTGGTATCTGAATGCAGCACATATTTGGATCAGAACAAATCATCAAAGAGGAAGGATTATATTTTCTTAAAGAGATTTTGGAGTTGTTGCAATACTTCACACACGAAAAATCACATTGTCATGATTCTGAAGGTACAACTGCTGCAATGCCGGTATCAAAAATACATCTAAGAGAAATACAAGACACAGATTATAAAAAAAAACAATGGCTTTGTGGAGGTTAAGAGTTTTTACCCCTCTCAGGAGTTTCACTATCAGTCACATCATTAAGACACTCAGTTATGGATGGAATGACAGAATGTTTTTACTAGGAGATAAACAAAAACATGGAGTGGAATTCGGGGATTAAATAATACCTTCAACTGCCAAAAAAGGGTAACCATGTCTATATTTAGCAGAAAATACACCCAATATCGCAAATTGCTAATGATTAACCATTATATACTGTGGATTTTCTTGTTCTGGCAGTCAGTGGTGGTGGTGCAACGGGTCAGTTCTTCAGCACAGAGTCATACATCTGGTAGACATACTGAGACACTTCAGGGGCCCGACATTTAAGAGAAAGCTGTGAAAGGACAGAACACAGCATCATTACGGTAGTTTTAACTGAATGTTTACAATAATCAAAGAAATAAAACATTGTCTGATGCTACATTTGCCTCTTTACTACTCCTCTCTGTTTAATTCGCATGACAAAAGTCTATTTTATTCTTTTCTTTTTCAAACCTGTGGTTAAAATTGTATTTTAATGGATTGAGACAACATTTTATGCTTTATATCTTAGACCTGTAGTGTGTACCAATAATCTTTACACTCGAGGGCAACTGACTAGGCAAGGACTTGCTATGTATTCTCTCACTGTACCGTGTAATTGGGGTTCCCTGGCTGGATGCGGAGCTCAGCCAATATCCAGATGCCGTTGGTCAGCTTGAGAGACTGGTAAAGCATATCCTGGCCCTCCACATTCCTCTTGGCAATGGTGTAAATGTTATTATTCTGCAGCTTCCCTGACACTGTGTCTGTAAGACCAGAACCAAAATAAGTGAAAAACCCCTTGTCACATGGTGCTACTCTCGTATTACTGAACAATTAGACACCACATAAAACACTCACACATAGTTATCACTATAAGTACTAACATGGGCAAATGAATTAGCTAATGCAATACTTCTACTGCTAAAGGGGATGTTAGCTCTATGGGGATTTTCATGAAATTTAACAGGAGACCTGGAGATTTCAGTAAAGCTGGCCAAGTATTTGAAAACTAGCTTGGGTCTCTGTTACAACCAGCCATCATGGATTGATGTTAGTCTGCTTCCTGGATAACAGTGGAACATTTATTGGTAACTTTGAAGAACAAAATGAAGGTTACAGATGAAAGGTAATCAGTTTTCCAAAGAAAGGCATGTGGGTTGAAAAAAGACAGAAACAGGTGTAAGGTCCTTCATGGAGTTGTAGTATTTTTGTATTTTAAGTTTTGATTACACTTATTTCAGACTGAGTTAAAAAGAAAAGTAGCTTTAATTCAGAAAGCTTAAAAAAAGCCTAACATCTTTTTCCCCTTGGAAATAAAAAATTCTAATTTACTGCAACACAGAAGAAAAACAACCAATGATCCTGCTAAGACATTCGACATACAGCAGAAAAATGTCAACATAAAGTGGAGAATTTAAACAATAACATGGACCTTTCTGCAAGTTTTTACTATCTTGTTAACAAGCATACATACCTGCATTTAGGTGACACTCTTTTATCTGGTACTGGAGTTCATTTTCATTGGGGATGTCTTTCCAGGTAGCCAGGAACACCTGTCGCTCTGAGTAGGGAAAACAAAAGTTACTACCGTAACTACGGTTCTATGAATCCTGGATGACCGCCAGAGGCGGTGCTTCAAGAACTGAATGATCATTCTTGCGCATGCGCAGGTCGAGTACTAATGACAACAACGTCACCTGTGACCTGCCGGGGACCCACGTGACTCTATATAGTCACGTGGCACCCGGCAATCAATCCCTTAATCTTCTCGCGAAAGCAGAGATTCCGAGGGACCAAGCACTCTGGCGGTCATCCGGGATTCATAGAACCGTAGTTACGGTAGTAACTTTCGTTCTATTTCATCCCTACTGACCGCCAGAGGCGGTGCTTCAAGCACTGGATGACTCATATCAACAAGGTCACGAGGAATCAGCAACAAGGAACAGCGACTACACCACCCACCTAATGTGATGTAGAGGCATGCTGCTCCAAAATTCCTTGAAGCGGATGGGGCGCAGCCACATTCACCCTGTAGAACCGAGTAAAGGTACTAAGTGATTTCCAGGAGGCCGCACGGCATATAACATCCAATGGCACCCCAGTCATGGCAGCAAACGACGTCGACATGCCCCTTGTAGAGTGGCACTTCACTCCTGCCGGCAGTGGCCGGTCCTGCGAGGCATAAGCCTTGGAGATCACATCCACCACCCAGTGTGCAAGTCGCTGCTTGGAAAGTGCCTGACCTTTCCGTGAGCCAGCGTAGCAAACAAAAAGACTATTTGTCTTTCGGAAGGATGCCGTGGCATTGATATATGTCTCAAGGGCACGAACAGGACACAGTGGTTCAGAGGGGCTTCCGGTGTCAAGCCGAGCAAGATGGAGCGGCTGGGTACTGCCAGCCGCCGGTGATACCTTAGGAATAAATGCTACGTCAGACCACAGTGTAACCCCTGAGCCATCAGGATTCCACCGGCAGCAGGGCTCGGCTATCGAGAGAGCCTGTAATTCCCCCACACGTTTCGCAGAAACCATAGCTAAAAGGAACGCCGTCTTCAGTGAGAGCCATTTGAGGTCTGCCGATGCCAGGGGCTCAAATGGGAGGGACCGAAGAGCCTCAAGCACAAGAGAAAGGTCCCATGCCGGTGCCACAGGGCGGTTGGGTGGGTGCAAACGCCGAGCACCCCTTAAAAACAGGACAACATCTTTGTCTCGGCCCACAGAAAAACAATTCAGCCCAACATGCCAACAGGAAATGGCAGCCACATACACCTTTA